GCCGCGCCGAGCGAGCCAATCAGAAACGAGGACCGCTCTCCCCTTTGGGCGCCCAGGTGGGAAAGGGGAGCGGACAAGGGCGCCTCTCTCCAGCCTCGCAGCGGCGGCTGGGGAACTACAGCTCCCAGCATCCTTCGCGCCCGCCCCGCCGGCGAGTCCTGGTAGGGAGCGCGCGCTGCATGCTGGGAATCGTAGTTCGGGCGGATGGGACGCGGGGCGGCGCGCAGGCGCGGTCGCCATGGCAGCGGCCCGCGCCCTCCCCCGCACTGCATTTTCAGTTATTTAATTATTTAAATCCTCGTCAGCCGGCGGCTGGTGTTAATAATTATCTAGTCTGACGTCCCCGTGACAGCTGCCCCGGTGGAAGCCTCGCAGCTTCATTTGACTGTGATATTATTTTTCTATACCCTCATATATATAAGAGGATCCTTTAGGATACGTAGCAGTAAGGGTGCAGGGTTTATCCAGAGTTAATCTTGTCATTAAATGCAGTAGGGTTTGCTACATTATCACAAAATACTGAGTTCCTGAGTTTTCGGCTTTGCTTTGCTGAAGGTAGCGAGTTTTTTGTTTGTTTGTTTTCTTTTTTTCTTCCTCCCCTCCTTTTTTTTTTTTCTAGTATTTTTACTGAGGGCTGTTTCCTCACTGAGAGGAAAATAAAATACCAGAAAAAAAGAAGGAAAGAATAAGAACATAGAAACGCTTACAGTACAGAAACGCAGCTGGGCTCACAGGCTGCCTGAGGGAAGCGGCCGTTCTCCCGCTGCTCCCTCTTTCTCACAGTTTTTGTATCATCCTTTTCGTTCTAGCACGGCCTCCGCTCCCAAAGTCGCCCGGTTCCTGGGAAGCGGGACGTGGCCGATGGACGAGCTGCAGGCCCTGCTCGACGCCAGCCTGCTGGCAACGCGGCACGTGGAGAGCGCGGCCCTCGTGCGCCTGCAGGGCAGGACGGTCTGCGCCGCCACCGCCGGCTTCCGCGTGAGGAGCCCTGCGGGAGCCGGCGCCGCACGGCCGCGGCGCCCGGGTGCTCTTAGTGCAAAAAGCCACAGTCTTCACTACGTAGAGGGTCTTTAATGCGTAGCACAGCCTTTAGCAAGGCGCGCTGCGCGCCAAGGACTCGAGCAAAGTCCTCTGCTGGTGGCAACTGTCGTAGGCTCCGTTGGCTTGAAGGAATTTCCAGCCAGGAGGGATCATTGGATCATCCTAGCCGACCAACTGGGCATAAATCTGCTGTTTCAGCCACTCCATTAAGCATAAACCAAGCCCTGGAGCTCATCAATTTCAATGTGTGACGGCCCGAAATGGGCTCCTGTGTCTGCTGCTCCGCTGAGATGTGAGGCTTTAGCCTCCTCCAAGTTACACTTCCCTAATTAAAGAATATTTGAAATTGGCGTCCTTGTGGCTCTATTTATGGTACAGAGTCCTGTACCATAATTAAATGACGCAAGGAGGAATTGGACAGTAACCAGAGGCCAAGCGGAGTAATTCAGCTGAGACACTGAAAAGCAGGATACAGTGCACAGTCCGTCTCACTGTACGGAGGCTAGAATTCTAGCTTCAAAACCAGGCACATTTATCTTCCCTTTAAGATACCACAATTATAACCATAGCAAATCATGAAAGTGGGAGGGTGGAAATGTGTTTGTGATTGCATATGGTTGGTCCATAACGCTGCCTTTTATAAACACAGGTGCCCGAAGAGAATGTTTTAAACCTCATCTATGCCTTCTACAAGGACTTGGTGCAAGTGAGGAGGGAAGGCCTCTACTTCAAGGAGAAATACTACAAGTGTGTCCGAGCAGATGAGCATTCCCTCTATCTCCACAACGTACGTTGCCAAGAGCTGCTGCATTCCTGAGAAATGCGCTTGGGAAGAATTCCTGCTTTCTTCCCTCACCGCCTGGTTATGGGAATATCTGAACACAAGCAGAAATCCTTCATGTGTTCCTTTCTTTCTGTTGCTACCACCTTCCCAGGTGTGGAGTGAAATCAGTGCAGAACACAGAAATTGTCAGCTATGTAACACCAATGAAACAGGAACGCTGTTCAATTCAAGTTAGGCAACTCTTAAATTTGGATCCTTTTTCAGAAAATGCGGTGTTTTTCAGTGGCTTTTTTCCCCACTCATTACTACAGACCAGTGAGGTAGTTTGCCAAGCAGGGTTCATAAAACATTTGCATATTACATGCAGTACTAAGGTAAAACGTTTCAAAAATGCTGCGTAGTGATACATTAATCAATACAAGCGAGCCTATGCAATATAATAAAGCATTTGATGGATTTAATAGTAAATAATATTCAAAAAACATGCACTGTCAATGTTTGTCTGCATTCTGGGCTAGGCTTTCAGAGAGTATTCTCCTGCAGGAAAACAGGTATCTTGACAAAGAAAATGCCTGGAATTAGCCAAAAATGTAAACCAGTGTGTATTATACATCCATTTTATTTTTGAACTTTGTAATTTTATGCTGATTTTCTTTGTTATTTAGCCAGATGGAGGCTTGATAGTTGTGAAGACAAACGCTTTCCTCCTGATCGCTACCTACAGAGCGGGCATGTATCCCAGCGTGTGTGTCGAAGCCGTGGAGAAACTAGGTGAGAGAAATGCAGCGTCTGCACCAGCAGCTCACGGGTTAGCTCTGCCCCTGCACACAGCTGCAGCCATTAATGTGACAAACGACAAAATCCCAGAAATCTGGGAAATTGCTGATATGTGGCCAAGCCCTCTCCAGAGCCTCTATCCCACTGGGCGATGTGCACGTGCACCAGGGTCTCTACATGTATAAATATGTTGCAGAACTCTCTTTCCTTGGACATTTCCTTGGAAATGTGGCACATTTCCTGGGACAAGGTTACCTCCCCTCAACCAAATGGTGCCTTGGTGCCCTGTAATAACGCAAATAAAATCAACACAGTGTTTTAAAGACGCTGTCTCAGAGCGTCAGCTTTGATACTTATTCACAGTCTACTTGAAAAACACGTGAGCTTTTTAAGGGTTTTAAACCTTCCCTACAGCTTGTTTCCATCTAGGGCATGGTTAAAGAGCGTTACTAAATGTAAAAGCTGGGCCTTGTATTTTAAGTTGATTTCAGAGTGGAGCATTTCCTAACGGTGCTGCTGTGTTAATGAGCACCGTGTCAGTCTAGCTGACTCTGGAGCCATGTCCAAATTCAGATTAGTTTCCCTGCTGCCATGGAAGGAAGGCAGAAAGTTTGGAGCCCACAAAAAATGTCAACACTTGCAAGATCCTCTGACAACTGGCACACAAGTCATTTGGTCTTGCAAATAGTCACAGTGTCTGTAGTGGCTGTTCTTGAATGAAGTTGCTGTTCTGAAGTTTCTGATGTTCTCTTTTCAGGGTCAGATTTTTAGAGGTTTAGGTAATGTCCATTTTTCTGGAGTTTATTCTTGCTGTTCTGAGTGATTTCTTTGTGCAGAGAAAATAAAATAGCAGTGACTTTTCTTTGCATCTTATGGGAAGTTTCTGCCAATGATTTACGCTTAAAGTGCTCAGTAGTTTACTCTGTAGAATAGAAAAAAAACCTCATGTGTGTAGATAATAATATTTTTAATGTTCATCTCGAAATGCTGCTGTCTGTTCAGTTACATCATGATCTGCAATGGATTTGAACTTGAAAAATGCATCTCCATTGACAGCAAAGGTGTTTGATTTCTGTAATTCTCGATTCGCTTTTTTAATTTTGTTTTTGTAGCGGACTACTTCAGAGAGAAGGGGAGCTGAATCAGCAGAAAACTTCATCAAACTCGTAAGGACAGTGCGCTGGAAAATCCAACACAGAAGTTTGAAGTATTATTAAATTCAAGAAGGAAACTTGTGTTTTACAACATCCCGAGTGCTGAGGGAAGCCTTTAGTCAGGGACAATCAGCCAAAATCCCACTTTTTTTTTTTCCTCCTTGGGGTCTGAGGTTCTTTTTTTTCTGTTTTTTTTTTTTTTTTTTTGCTATTTTTTTTCAATAGCAAGTAAAGAACAACTTTGAATAGCACCTGCTCATAAGAGGACTACCTTGAAAGTAAGTTTCTTAATAGAATTGGGAGTGATGTCCTCAAGACATTTGGTTTAACATGCTTATTTTTTCGTATGTTGTTTTTTTAACCTATTTCCAGATCAGAAAACTAAGAATCTGCCTCAGCTGAGGCAGTTGTAGCCTTTCTCTCAGCTGTGCCCAGCCCCACATATTCAGGGAACTGAGGAAAATGGTTATATTAGCAAATTTTCAGTGCCCTGTGTACCTTGGAATGTTACAAATAAAACACATTTTAACATACTGATCTGCATTGTCATCAACTGCTCTACAAAGCTTGAAAACTGGTGAATTGCAGAGTTTTCTCTTCCCTCTTCTAAGGAGAAAAAGGACAAGGAGGAGGAGGGACAATGTTATTACCAGGATTTAATGAGTCTTTTCTAAGCGTTGGACCATAAGGAATCCCCGTGGGAGTGATCGCTGGTTCTGTAGGAGGTAAAATAGAGGTTCTGGTTGTACCAGGTGAAGAGCAGGCCCCATGATCATGTCCTCTGCAGAAATAAGTGAGGTACCAGCTCTTGGAGCCCTATGACAACAAATTTTTAGCTCCTTGATTTTAAAATGAGTTTGGTTTCAAGTAAAAGTTTAAAAACCTGAATCAAAAAATGTCAAAATCAAGAGGGCAAAGCAGCAGTTGAACACTTGCTTAGGAGCATACAAAGAGCAGGAAAAACAGTAAAAGCACCAGACCCAACTTCCCGGCTTCCCGCGGGGGGGAGCGTTAAACCTTCACCTCCTATTCAAAGGGAAAAGGAGATTCCTGCCTCCATCGGGGGAATAAGCAGGTCTGTAGGGAGAAGTAAGGGTGAAACGAGCCAGTATTTCCGACTCTGTTTGTGGGTTTTACTCCGACGTAAAGCACAGTGTCCTCCTTCCCACCCCCTCGGCTGGGTTGGGAATAGCTGATTCAAGGGGCTGAGCTTGGAGAAGGGGAAACGGGAGCAAACTCTGCTCCCAAGGACGGGTTGGGGTTCATCCCACAGAGAGGAAGTATTCCTTTCTTTCCAACAAAAAGGTGAGCCAGAAATAGTAGACAAGACTCAAATATTTGCTTTAAGTTGTTGTTTTGGGCCTCTGCTAAGATATCGGATGACCTGAAATGGTTGCACTGAGGGGAATTTTTTTTTTGAAAAGTGCTGACTGAAATCAATCTCTATTTTCAAACAGTTTTCCTATCACTGCCCATCTCTGGAATTTAAGGGGTGCAGCAAAAACAGGAGTGAGCAACATATGCTATTCCTGTATTTGAAAGCAACACAGCCTTGCTATCTTGCTCATTTTTCTTACACTTTTGTGGCTCAGCCTCTAGCAGCAAATAAGAGCATTGATAAAAACATGGCCTTTAGCAAAGAGACTATGGGGTAGATGTAACACCCTAAAACACTCATTTTGCCTATGTGTTTTAATTTATTTAATTTGGAAAAGAGCCTAGAAGCACTTGTTATGCGAGGGTAGCCAAGGGGCTCTTGTCGCAGCAGAGCTGGCTTCCCATTCCACTTCTGTGCTAAAATAGGCAAATTTGGTGGTATTAGATTAAATGCTGTAGCTGGAAACAAATAAACAGTTGTCCGAAAGAAAAGCCTTTCTTTACTTTAAATTTTATCACTGGTGGCAATTGCTTTTTCACCATAAAATAGCCACACAGCACCACCCCGTGGGGACTGACGTTCCCAATGTTTCCACGTTGATCTAGTATTTAGTCTTAATAGCGATCATTTAAGCACAAACTTTTCTTGTGCGGGTAGCATAATCCAAGGAATTTCCCATATTATCTGTGTAAAAGTGTGTCTGCCTTCCTGCTGCCTTTATTTAGTTTTTAATTTTTATTTTTTGTAGAGAACATGTTGGCTGTGCATTTCGATTGCCCGGGAGGCCCAGAGAACCTCTATGTGAAGGAAGTGCCGAAGCCACATCCAGGAGAAGGGGAAGTGCTCGTGAAGGTCGCTGCCAGCGCGCTCAATAGGGCTGATTTACTCCAGGTTTGTCACATTAAGTGGCTTTACGTGCCTGAAAATGACCTCAGATTTGCAAGTCCCCACCTGAAATGTTGACAAGAGACTGGGTGAGATGTAAAATGGGAGCCTCGGTCTGCCTGGATGCTCAGAAAGCTCCTCGGGTGTTAGAGATCACAGAGTCCCAGAATGGCTGAGGTTGGAAGGGACCTCTAGAGATCATCTAGTCCAGCCCCCTTCTCAAGCCGGGACACACAGAGCACGTGGCACAGGGTGGCATCCAGGCGGGTTTGGAAGATCTCCAGAGAAGGAGACTCCACAGCCTCTCTGGGCAGCCTGTGCCAGGGCTCTGTCACCCTCACAGGAGAGAAGTTCTTCCTCACATGGAGGTGGAACTTCCTGGTTTTACTTTATACTCAAACACAGAAATGTTCCCTTGTCTAAGTCAACATGGTAAACAGAATCCCGGAATCCCAGAACATCGCAGTCTGTCCCACTCTTGTCCGAGCTGCTCCATTTTGAGCTGAAAGGCTCCAGAGGGGCCCCTAACACCTCCCTGTCTCTCGCTGTGTTTCGTTTTAGAGGAGGGGGAAATACCCTCCGCCCAAAGGAGCCAGTGAGATTTTGGGCTTGGAAGCGGCTGGGACGGTGGCCGGGTTCGGCGGCGGCTGCAAGGGCCGCTGGCAGGTGGGTGACACCGTGATGGCCCTGCTCTCCGGCGGCGGCTACGCGCAGTACGTCACCGTCCCCGAGGGCCACCTCATGCCCGTGCCAGCCGACATGACGTTCGCTCAGGCCGCGGCCATTCCCGAAGCCTGGCTAACCGCCTTCCAGCTGCTGCATTTTGTAGGTTTGTATTTTGTACATGCAAATCCATCCCACTGAAACAGCTGGTCTTCATTTCCTTGATTAAACCCTCTGTTTTGGGTTTTTTTTTTTTTTTTTTGGCATGCCACAGACCCCAATTCTGCAACGCCAGCCACAGATTGTGTTTTCACAGGGAGGAAAATGGAAGGAGATGGACATCTCTTTGCATCTATGTTTCTTGGCTTGAATCACAATTTCCACTTCGCCTAAACCCTGAAATAAGTGACATGGTCTCCAAACTACTGGAAAATCCTATTACAGAATCTCAGAATGGTTGAGGTTGGCAGGGACCTCTAGAGATCATCTAGTCCAAGCTCCCAGCCTCCAGCAGAGACACCCAGAGCACATGGCACAGGGTGGCATCCAGGTTTGGAAGATCTCCAGAGAAGGAGACTCCACAACCTCTCTGGGCAGCCTGTGCCAGGGCTCTGTCACCCTCACAGGAAAGAAGTTCTTTCTCACATGGAGATGGAACTGCCTGTGTTTTAACCTGTACCCATTACCCCTTGTCCTGTCACAGGCCACCACTGAAAAGAGTTTGGCCCCATCCTCACTACCAGGTACTTGTACATATTGATCAGATTCCCTCTCATTTTTATTTTCTCCAGACTAAACGGGCCCAGCTCACTTAGTCTTTCCTCATACGATAGATGCTTCAGTCCCTTAATCATCTTTGTTGCTCTATGCTGGTCAAGGACATCTCTTTCAGCTTGCTCTTCATTTTTGTGCCCCTTGATCACATTTTAGTCCCAGGGTGATGCCAAATTTTAATCAGCTCCCTGTCTTAATCAGTTAAGATACAGGAAGGTGAGACCGTGCTGATCCACGCCGGCGCCAGCGGAGTTGGAGTAGCGGCCATTCAGCTGGTCCGACTGGCCAAGGCCATTCCCATTGTAACAGCTGGAACACAGGAGAAACTGGAAGCGACGGCAAACCTTGGAGCGGCTGCAGGCTTCAACTACAAGACAGAAGATTTCAGTGAAAAGGTCTTGGCTTTCACCCAAGGTAAGATCCTCCAAGAGGAAGACGTTGAGGAACAGGCTGGGCCTCCTAAGGCAACAACTCAGTTTCAACCAGGAGGTTCAATCATCTTTTCAAAGACACTAATTTTGCAGAACTTGCGCTCACCCTACATTTTCTAAACTCTTTTGTTTCCACCTGAGGTTCTGGAGTAGATATTATCTTAGATTGTGTTGCTGCCTCATACTGGGAGAAGAATCTCAACTGTCTCAAGACTGATGGCCGCTGGATCCTATACGGACTGCTGAGCGGCGGGGAAGTGCATGGAGATTTCTTGGCAAGGTTGTTTGCCAAAAGAGGGAGCATCCACACAAGTCAGCTAAGATCCCGAGAAAAAGAGGCAAGTGATGACTATCAACAGCAAATATAATATAGAACAGTTTGGTCTTAAACTCTCTCATAGTTTTGAGAGTTGTGTTCTCATATCTGTGCTAAAGTAGAAAAAGCAACACCTTGAGCTATTACTACCTGTCAGGGAAAGCACTGCAAAATTAAGTTATATTTTCCCTTTTCTTTCTACTTTCTACCCATTTATAACTGCTAAATTCAAGGGAATTTGATACAGAATTGTATATATATATTTCTTAAGTACTGTCCTTGATAGATTAGTCCTAAAAGAAACAAATTTTAAAAGATCAGACTGCTTCAAGTCGGGGCCAGGGAGAGAAGAACCCCTATGAAATGGCTTGCAGCCACATTCGTGTGAGTAGAGACCAGGTCCATTTGGAAGCCCAGAAAGTATAAACTAAAAAGACTTTATTTGGAAACCACCCCCGATATCACACCAAGAGGTGCCCTAGGCTGGATTTTGCCCTTGAGATCATCTGTAATTGTCTCAAGAGCTTTATAGGAGTTTCAAATATGTCTAACCCGAGAGAACCTCATCCCATGGCACTGCAATTCATCTAAGGGGTTTCTTCTTTGCAGTTTAGTGTTTCTGTGTCTGAAACATGGTCAGAAAGTCAAGAGTTTCTCTGAGAAATGGGCCTGTATTGGGTGTCCTGCACAGGGACACCTCAGGGCACGAAAGGCCTGGGAATAACGGTGGAAACTCTGTTTTTTTCTGGCAGTACAAGGAGCGGCTGGTTGGGGCCTTCACAAGGACCGTGCTGCCTCATCTCTGCACGGGCGCCAGCCCTCGCCTGCGGCCACTGGTGCACAGCATCTACCCCCTGCACCGCATCGCCGAGGCACACGCGGCCATGGAAGAAAACAGGAACACTGGCAAAATCGTC